TCTTAATTATCTTTCAGTATAGTCATCTAACCTAATTCCTTATGTGGAATTACTTTTCTTTTTGCTGTTTGTGTCTTGTGGTTTTCTTTGAGAAACATACTGGCTACCCAACAGCTTCTTTTGGATACTATTTCTATAGGGGTGTTTTTTTTTGCACTCACTGAAACTTCACTTGAGGTTTGATTGATGGATATTCCTCTAAGTTAAAATGGTGGCTTTTAAATAACATTTTCTTAATAGTGTGCTGTTTGAATTTCAGACTTCTGGACAAATAATATGATAAATTTGTGGAGGGAGACTGATAATTTGAAAGCAAATTGAAACCACACTATAAGCATCTCAGAGAAGTCACTTTTAAGGACTTTTTTTTATTTTAATAGTATGTCCTATCCAAGCACAGTTTTGGGGCAGGGGTATAAGGGGTCTGTTCGGTCGAATAGCAATGATGTGCCTATTCTGTTCCTCTGGAGATGATGAAAAGCTTACAAAGGCGTAACAAATATGGTTTAAAGGCAGTAAAATCTCTTCCCCCATAAAATCTACCTTATTTCTGGTAGTTCAGTATCACAGGTTTGGAATTGAAAAAGAGGCTTTTGGATATACAGATTGAGTTGGTGTAATCCTGTTTGTCAAGATTTGTGACATGAGCGTGAATTTTGCCTTTTGACCTTGCTGAATAAGGAGATGGCAGCATTAGACCCCACTTGAAAGGGGTCAAATATAGGTGCAATGAAAATCTGCCTTGAAGAAACTTGTAGCAGCTCAGCAGCGTATAGAAAGGTACTGTATTTCTTAAAAGTACCTTTAGTAACATTTTATTGTCTTACTGTCGGGAGCAACTCCAAGATTTCCCCCCTCCATTGTCATGGCTTAAAACTTTTTTCTCTGGCTGCAGCAGCAAGTGGACCAATTACAAACCATTTGTTAAGGGCTTATTCCCCTCTGATGGAGGTCCGCTAACTTTTTTGGTTAACGGTTGAAGTCAGGAAAAGGAGCTGAGAATACCGGCTGAGTGCTTAAAGATCTAGACAGCCAAATAGAAAACGTTTTTTTTTCTTGTTCAGAGTTTGCAAAGTGAAAGCCTTGAGTTTACGGGAGCAACATACCAGACCTAACCAGATCCTAGGATGACTGCTGTGGGGAGGGCAGAAAGCGGCTCAGATTAACTGAGGAGTTTAGTTTGCTGTCAAAGTTTCTCTATAGACTTTTATATAGAGACTTGCTAGTAGGATACAGAGTCTTTGTCAATGTGATGAATTTCTCTAAAGCATTTACTGGTGGATTTTTTGCTCTTCAGAGATAGATTAAGCATTAGAGGGTAGCAGACTGCACTGTTAAAGCTATTATGAAAGTTACAACAAGGTTATTTACACAAGGTATTTAATACAGCAAGTCCTACATTATAATAAGGATCCCAGGATGATAGGAAACTTATTTCTCCTTACTTAGGAAAGTCTGGAATAAAAAGATACTGAATCACCAAAGGTACTTTAATCTGCAGGGTTTGTATCTCTTGTCTCATTCACTGAATTGTGTTATTGGCACTATCAGCTAAAAGTCTACTTTAATTAGATGAAATACAGCTTAGCTTTCATATAAAAGTGTGTTTTGTTGTCCCTACAGCAAATGCTTTCTGAAATAAATTCATAATTGCACTTGTCTGGCAACATGATTGTTTTCAAGCAGGAAAATTAGACATTGCAGAGGTGGAGAGTCTGGTTTCTCCACAGAGAAAACACCCACTGCTGTTCTGCTGTGTTCCTGCTAGACTGAACAAAACTGCAGCACGGATGGCCCTGTAAGAACACACTCGCCGGAGTGCCTTTTGTTATTGGGGATGTGTTTTCAAAAGGTAGGGGATGTCAGATGCTTTCCCTACGTGGGGAGAACCTGACACGGGTGTGTGCGTGAATTGCACGTTGTGGTTTTAGAACTCAAAGGAATGGAATCTGGCCTCTTACCAACTGGGTCTGTATTAATTCACCAGTTCCCAGCAGGAAACTCTTTCCAAATAAACTTAAGATATCTTGTACTTGCATATCTTCTGTCAGCAGTTCACTTACCTACCATGTAATTGAAATCTACTTGAAATAGTAATTTGTCTGATAGTTAATTTTAGAAGTGTAGAAGCTCTCAGTAAATTGCCTTAAATAGATAAGTGCTGCTCTGAAGCCTTCGAACTTTACAACATGGCATTTAAATAGTAAAAAGCATTTAATGTGGGGTATTAACACTCTGTACATTGCTAATGCCAATGCAAATAGGTAACTTGCAGGGTTTTTTGCGAAGGATTTTGCAAATTAGTTGCAGTGGTAAAAGAATGTGAAAATAAGCACTTGTAAATGAAAAATGATGTGACTGCTTTTTAATCCCGTATTTGTAGAAAAAGCAACTAGTGGCACACCAAGTCCAGCAGACACTATTAACTGTTAAGCAGACACTATTAAGTATTTTGCATATAACTGCACTAGTGTGCTGGAATTTTTTCTCTTTAATTTGCCTCATTTTGAAAAGAAATCAAAATTACAGTAAACTTTATATCTTAATCCTCAGAACAAGTCATTTTTCTTGGGAGATTATTTCATCTTTCCATGCTGCAGCAAAAGATTGCAGCGTGTGCTGCACTGAGCACTTGGCTCTTAGGTTACTTAGGTGATGTTTTTTGTTTGAATATATAGGTAGAAATGCCTGTGTCCTTATATGCAATATATTTTAGTCTGTTATTTTGCTCTTTTTCTTTTGTCCTTATTTTTAATACTGAAAATAGATTTGGCTGTGTTTGTGGGTGTTAAGTGGCCTGCAGGCTTTTCTGTGGTATATATATATAAGGGAAAGACTTTATCAGTGCTGACACTTTAAGCTAGGCATTTGCAGAAATTCAGCAAGGTGCTGGAAACCTGTTGGATCCTCTTGCCTCAGTAGCTCACTGAGGCTTCTGATGGTGCTCATAAGTTTGAGGTCCCCATTTGTTACTATTTTGGGAGAAGGTATACAGGCAGTTGCTGCTACTAATTGAAAAGCAGTTTATTTGTGCTGGAAAAAAACCCCAAGCCTACAAGTAATTTATTTACTCAAGACTTGGCATTATTTTCCAGTGTGCTTGCCTAAATCTTACCATTTTTTTTTTTTGCCTTACAGAATCTGAGCTAAATGTGTATTTTGGGGGGACAAAAAGCATTCCTAAAAGAACAGGCTCTCCTTGCCCATGCTTAAAGTGAAAAGTGTGAGGCGGTGTATGCTGTGATGTGACCAAGGAGGTGGTCAGGCCCTGAAGTGGCAGCAAGTCTTGCAGAGTGAAGATAGCATGCTTATCTAGGTGGTATTTTCCCTACCCTTGTGATCCTTACTATTTATTTAATAATAAGGAAGATTGAGTAAAATACCAGAGCAGATGATAGTACATGCTCAAGGCATATTTTGAGTTGGTTCTTATAGTATACTCATAAGCCTAAACCAATAGCTTCCTATTTTTCATACGCAGACTTAAAAATAATAGAATAAACTATTTAAAATGGAATTATTTTTACTTGACCGATTTCAAAATGGTTTCCTTCCTGAAAGAGTTAATGGGGGAGAAACTTGGAACCAAATTAAAGTTAGAAGTTGAATTGGATTTCAGGGAAATAGCTGGAGTGTTGAGTTGTATTTATTCACAAGAAGAACAAAAGAAATGTCTTTCTCATGGCTCTGTATGAGGCTGATGCTCATACAGAAATGAAGTGTCCCGAATCAGCGTCAAGCTCCCTCCCAAAGAGTGTGCCGACAGTTAAAGGGTGCTTAATTATTTGTTTGAATTTCTGAAACTCCTCAGTTCAGGTCCATGTGACTGTTTCCTGAACATATTGTGATCCCCGAATGTGACAAGCAGATGCCTCTGATGGTTGAGCAAAGAGTACTTATGAAAGGCTTCTTTCTCATGAAATGGCAGATACATCCTGCAGGCAGTGGTGCTCCTGTCCTGCTATTTCTGTCTTCTCAACAGAAATCATCACTGGGAGGCAGTGCCAGTGACAGGAGGGAAACTGAGGCATGGGGCAGTGCTAGGAAATGAGAGCAATAAATAAGAATAGAAAGAACGATACCAAATTCAAATAGTTTATATAATGCTAGTGCAACTTCTGTGGTATCTTGCTGTTTGCAGGGTTGTGGCCCTTGCTGTTAGGATTGCATATGTGTGTCAGCCGTGTGATGGGCCAGCAGCCATGCAGCATCTCCCCCTTCTTCCTTCCCTCAGATCTTGGCTGTGTCTGACACTATCACTTAAAAATGAAACTGGTATTTATAACTTGGTATATTTTAACCAAAGAGAATTATGTGGCGAGTGAAAAGTGTGTAAAACATTTGGTATCTTGAACTGTTTTTTGTGTGAATCATGTGCTGTGATGGGGGGAAAGAAAGCTAGAGGACAGATAGTTAGAATACCTGCATCTTTATTTGAATTCAAGAAGAGTGGCTGAAAAGAGCAACCAAATGTTTCTTACAAAATGAGAGCAGTTTCATTCTCTGTAGCTGAAGTGTGGTGTTTATTAGGGCGCACCAGCCCTCTAAGTACAGCACTAGCATAAAAATTCATGCTTCAGGGTCACAGTGTATTTCTGCCTTTTGATACTGTTATGTTTTATGCAGATAAACTTAAAACTGTAAGATCTGGTAAGATACTTGCTGCAAAAAGGCTCTTGTGTTAAATCACGTTTGTAATCAGGAACGCATTCTGATTTGATCAGCTTCCCGCTTTCGTAAAAGTATCTGTACCAGTAAACGTAACTCGGATAATCTATTCCTGTGAGGCAACCTTTGTTTTTGTATACTGCAGTCATCTGCATTCAGAAAGCTTTATTTAGTAGCTTCTACTTGTTCTTTTGGACCAATGAATATGTAGGAATGGTAGCATTTCTCTTCAGGGGTGTTAGAGATTAAAAGGAAACCTGTTAACCTGATTCCTGTGTGTTAGTGTCACTTATAGCATTTGTGTTAAGATAAGAATCTTCTTTATTTTTCAGGTTCAAGCCATTTTTTCCAGTTCATGTATTGCCACCTGATGAATGTGAAGATCGCGACCTCTGTATACAGGAGCTTCTGTTGACAGAAGGTCGTCTAAGAGTCACCTTAATTGAATGTACAAGGTATGTTTTGCGGTCTTTTGCTCATTCTTGACTCAGCAAGTACCCATGTTTCTTAAGGTTGTAGTAATTGTAGCTTAGGCCTGTTTTGATTCATAGAGTAGCAGCTTTGGTGTCATGTTTGTACTCTAACCCAGAAATGTATTTTTTAAGTAAAAATGAACAAACGGAAGTTGCAGTATGTTTCTGAGGCATTTCTGTGTTCTGTGTGGGAGCATGAACTTGCCTTTCTTCTGACTTTTGTCTGCTTACAAACTCATCTTGCCTCCTGACATTTGTTTTTGTGTGTTACTTTGGCGCACCAAATTATGAATCTCTTTCCAGGACAGTATAAATATCGTAATTATCCTATTGTATTGTGTTGTAAGCAAAGGGGAATAATTGTTTCAGTCGGTCTTACTTAGATTAATCCAAGTAACTTTTATAAGGCATTGTTTGTCCTTGTCTTGAACAAAATAATGGGAAGAAATCTACTTCATTTGCTGAAGAGAAAATTAATTCTCTTTAAAGCTGGAGAAAAGGTGTTTGGGCTCTTGGTTTGTTTGGTGTTTTTTTTTTTGTCAAACCTCTTAGTTCTTGGTTTATGTTAGATCTTATCCAAGTAGTGCTTAGGCTTTGATCTAGTCATATGCTCTCCTGCTCTTTATGAGCTAAACTCTGGTTTGCAGCAAGACTTTTAACCTGTTCTTTTTATTGCCTGTATTACCATGTGAGCTCCTCTTTGCACTCTTTTTCCCCTGCAGCCTTGTACAGCTCTTTGAACTGTATTGGCTGTATTAATGTGGTTTATCAGTGCTGTGGATTACCAGAAGATATTCTTCTGCTTCTAGGGATGGTATGGGCCACAGCAGTGATTATTTTTGGCATTAAAATTGCTGCTTACCTGTCTTCCTAGCTTTGTGGTGTTTTCTGTCGGTGATAGAGGAATACTAAATGACTCTGTGCACTCCTTGGCTGCTAGGAGCGCTTTCTCTTTACCATACTCAGTCAGGGAACTCATGATGTCTCTTTACAGGCAGCCTCCAATTTCAGTCCAGTACTGCATTAATTTTTATTACAAGAGGGCCCAAAATAACTCTCAAGTTGTGTGCAGTTGTTACTAGTTTGGAAAGTAATCTTTTAAATAGTATGTCTTTCCTGAATCGGAAACACTGTGTAACATCACAGACATATCACTAGTGTTGTGTTTCTTTCCATTGTGTTTAGAAGCCAGATTGCTGAGTTTGACATCATCATCTCACTATTTTCAGCTGTCACAGATGCTTATCAGATGGCTGGAGAGAGGAGGCAGTTGCTGGCTTGTCAGGTCTTTTCAGCTTCAGGTCTGACTTAATCTGACTGGTTTATGTGCCTTGGAATTTCTTGACGGACACTTGAAAATGATGTCTTAACAGACACGTCTTACTCTTGATGTCTGACTCTTGACACCATAGTAATTCCTCAGACCTTGCAGGTGTCCCATCGTTTTTTGAACTAAACAAGTACAAATGTCCAAAGAGTCCCCCTGTGAATAAGTACTCTTGCTTACTTTGCACCTGAAGATACTGATGAGACAGAAGCTGAAAAACACATAGAATCTTCTTAGTAGAAGAAGAAATGTAACAATATATATGGAAGTAGCAATGACAATGTATAATATGTAGGATAGTAACAGTGACAAAATTTCCCCTTTTTATCACTACCGTGTGTGAGCGGGTGTGAAGGTTGTTCTCAATGGCTCTTTTACAGTACAGCAGTGCATGCTGAAACAAAGCTTTTTCACTCATGTCTGCCACCGAGACCTGAAAATTTTTCTTGGCGATCATTTTCATTCCAGAATGAAAGATCACTTTAATTTCTGTGTGTTTCAGTTTTGCTCAGTGCCCCAGAAGGTTTGCATCCTGGCAGCACAGTAGCTGTTCCCTGGCTTCTGTACAGAATTTGGAGCAGGATTCTTGACCATTGATGTTGTCCCAAATTTGGGCTTATTCACCTGGTGTGCAATAAGCCAGCCTCACAAACAGAGTTTTGAGATAATGTTAAACTCATATTTGCACAAAGATGAGCGCAAGAGGATAGTTCCACAAAGCTAGCACACCCTCTGTCAGCTGCCCACTTCTATATGTTTCACACAGTGAAAATTCAGTTTGTTCTTTTACATTCTCTTGTCTCTGTTTAATGGCACAGTATATAATATGTATACACATGTTCTGTGAGTAAGGGTCTATGTAGGCAAGGGTCTCTTATCAGGGGGATGTGATTCTTAGTATTACAATGAATGAAGTTCCTTTAGGAACACAGTAATCTTGCATTTTGTTGAGTTTTTAGGAAGACATAAGTAATTTTTAATCTTTCTGAAGTTGAGTATTACTCTTCTGATCTGGATGGTCTCTTTTATCCATCTTCTGCCTCTCCTGAGGTCAGTGAGCTTCTAAGGAAACACTGTTTTTCCTTGCTACATGCAATTCTAAACTCAAGATTTTCAGGCTTTCACACAACAGTCCTTCACAAAATCTTAATTTCTGGATAACAGTGTTTGTATTCCATCTACTCTGGTAAGAGTTCTGCTACTTCTCTTGCTTAGGTCTGAAATACAGTGGTAAATCTATAGCGATAAAACATTTAGCAAACTACTTGTATGTTATAAATGTCTAGTTTTAATTTCCCTATATTCACATGACCAAATAGATGTACTTCTTGCGCTTGTTTGTTTTTCAGTTGCAGGCTTGACCATATTAATTTCCTTGCTGTCATGCTATTGACAGAAAAACTGAGTCTTGCACATCTTTAAAATTAAATGAATCAAAGGATGGGAACTTTGGTGTAAATAATAAGGAATGTTTTGAAAATTTTTGTCTAACTTACTGAAAATGTAAGTTTTCTTGTACGAATGCAGTGCCCTCACAGAACTGAGTCCTTGCAAAAACAGTTACCTGTTGTTACCTTAAGGTTTTAAGGCAAAGGGAAAAACAAAGTGACATGCTGTTAAATTTTAAAGGTACACTGTGAAGAAAGTCTTAAAGCCTATAAGTTCCAATTATATTATTCAAGAACACTTCCAAAACTGTGCCATCAAGTAGGCTTTGTAACTCGGCGTTTGTTTTAATAGATAGCGGTTGCAGACAAGGAGATTTTCCCTAGGTAGTTTACTAAAATACCACAGAGCATACCTGGGGCCGAATTGTCGAGTTTGGAGTTTTATGGACAGAATATTTCCAGACAGAAAAATGCATAACGTGGCTATAAGGACTTGAAGTTCTTGGCTTGCCTCAGCTCTTGAGCTGAGGTGACCACAGCCTCCATTCACTTGTGTTCTGTATCAGAGGACAAACTCTTCATGGCTTGGAGTTCTTGTAGCTTTCACATTGAAAACCAGGACAGCTATGAACTGTGTTAACTGTGTTCATGTCCATAGCTACTCTATTGAATCACTTTGCCTCATGCTTGCTTGCTTGCTGCAGGGAGCCATCTGATTTACAATTGGGGAAGGAATAGAAATTCACTTTCTGTATGCATATTTCAACTACTTGGGTAGTAATTTAATCACATTTCTTTAGCAATTTAATTATAGCTGGGGTTATAAACTTTGTTTCAGGATGTCTTTCATATGCCATTTCGTACTGATTTGCAAACTTTCTATCTGTAGGATATCTATATATCTTAACAGATGGGTGTTTTGGGTGTGTTGTGATATAGTGTCAGTCTTTATCTGCAGCTGTGTTACAGAATACGGAACAGGTATGATTAAGACAAAAATTTCCTTTAGCGTAGGAGCAGTTAAAATTTCCCCTTTGTCTTTCTGGAACTGGAAACTGAATTCCAAACTCCAGCATGCAGAGCTCTTTAAGTATGTAATTTTGCTGTCTTAATGATGTTTCTTCAACTTGGGTATCGGTAACCTAAAATGAGGTGAAATCTCAGTTCTTTTTTTTTCCTTGTGACTACTATCTTACAGTTCTAGCTGAAACTTATGGGCAGGAGGGTTGGATCTAGATGATCTTAAGGTCCTTTCCAACCCTAACTGTTCTGTGATGCCTGTTGTGAGCTACCTCCTGGCCTTGTTTCCTTAGTTGCCACCAGTACAGTACAGCTAAATAGCTACTGTGCTGGTATTTTAGAGGGGCAATAAGCACCCCTGGAAAATTCCATGAGCTTGTGTCTAGGTGAAGAAGGAACATATGCAAGCAGTGATGAGTTATGGAAAAGCTTTAATGAACTGAACCAATGAGACACTGAGGAAAACTTGTGATACCCAAAAGAAGCTACTGAAAGCAGAACAGAAATGCCACAGAGGGTTCCTGGTGGCTTAAAAATAAGTAAAGGAAGTTTGAGTTCATCCGTTCCAGTAACCTTCAACAAACTTAGTCTTGTTCAGACAAAGTACCTGATCAGTTGGTTCTGGGGCTGGATTTCTGCTTACAGTAATCATATCCATGTCAGTAGAGAAACAGAAATGAATGCTGAAAGTCAAGCTGGAAATCGGATTTTTATGGTGTTTTCCAAGATCATGGCATCTGTCCCTCTTAGAATGGGGTTATAGGGTACTGCCACTACCTCTGAGCCGAAACCAGTTGACACTTGGTAAAGCAGGTATGCTGGGTACCATCATCTCCCACATGAATTTGTGTAATCAGCTAAAAATGAGTTAAACACATTCTTCATAGAGAAACATAGAAAAGAAATATTTATTCAGCTGCCCTTGCTGCAGTGCAGGCTGGTGAGCTGTCATAGCCAGAGAGGTGTTTGCCTTTAGGACAGGCTTAGTTTTACCAGTTCTCATTGTTGGTGAAAGTTGGTTTCAGTAGCTTTACTACATTTTTGTAGCATATTTACTGTGTATCTCCACATGTGGAAGATGATGCACTTTTTAATCATGAATATTTAACCTAGAAACACTGTTTAACAGCATCAGAATAAACAGAAAATTGACTTGTTTTTCTGACAGCTTTTGTCTATTATCTGAAGAGTTGTGTAACACATCACAATTGCAGGTAAGTTACTTTGGATGAAAGCTTAGAAACCGCTCTTGTCATAAGCGTATAGAAAGTTTGGGGGGGAAGTAAAATCTTACAGGTCTTTTGAAATAGTAAGATTGAAGTTTCTATTCCAAAATATTTATCTGCTTCCAGCTACTATGTACAAATTTATTGCTGTTCTGTAGGCTAAAGGTTATTGCTTGTTTTCTTTTATAGTACTGGTGTCAACCTGAAAGCCTTTATAGCCTTCTGGAATAGGGTATTGTGAATGAAAGACCAGCCACTCATTTATGTCACAGAATATTACAGGTGTGAGAGGATCCCAGTTTAGTGAAACAGGAACATAAGCGGTGGTAAATGGTGACTTTACAGTAACACTCTTTTGAACAAAGAAGATCTGCAGTATATTGTGAATTTTAGAATTAGGATGGAAAACTTGTGGCTATTTTTGCTTAACCTCCCCAAACCCTCAGAATCTACACTTTTATGGAAAAATACCAGCCTGCCAGTTGGACACTCCTTTTTTTTTTTTTTTTTCTTAAATAAAAACACAATAGCAAAAAAAGAAAACCAAAAAAAAACCAAACCCAACAAACAAAAAAATAGCTAAAAAATGTTAATTATCTTTGCTATTTATAGAGTTCTTCCACTAGAGGGTGGCAGTGTCTTTCCTTTGGCACAAGACTGTGCCTGCTGCATCTTTTCAGTGTGGACTGCTGTATGTGTACATCTTGATAATTAATAATAGAGTATATAAATGAAGAATGGTGAGTTAATATATCTAGAGCATTAACAGTAATACAGTTCTTACTATAGGCTTTTCTATTTCAGGTTATTTATGTTTGGATCCTATGAAAGAGAAGCGAACGTTCATTGCACAATGGAGCTGAGCACTAATGTTTGGGAAGAAAGATCAAGAAGTTCTATTAAAACGGTAAAAAATGGTATAATCTTTGCATATTGCAGTATTATGCTCTTAATACATTGTATAGGAAGCGTGTATCTTTGGACAATCAAGTGGGTGGTTATAGCAGAGCACCCTGAAAGCATAACAGACCAATTATTTACTATTTAGTTCAAAGTATTTCACTGTCCAGTTGACATGGATAACATCATTTCAGTTATGGCAGCTGTGCTTGAAAATGTACCTCATTTGTGTATGTTGTCAGCTGTCCATCTGCATTAAAACAAATAGTGTAAAATAAGCATTTTTATAGTCCTGTTATATTTGGGTGGGTCAATGTTTAGCAAACAGTGAGTAAGACACACTTGTCTTTCACTGGCCAGTAGTGAAACTAACCAGTTTCATCCCTTCTGATGCGAGTGTTGAAGGCAAGCATGATCAGAGGGTAGCTAATGTGATGCGACTTCCTCTTTTCCCCTGCATTTTGTGAAAATACAGGCAATTGACATAAATGTCTAACTTCTTGTAGAGTGTATGAATCCTTCCTTGTCTGCTAAAGAAAAATGCTTTTACAAGTGTCTGCAAATATAGAAAGTGGTGGTGTTACTGTAAGCTCATGAAATCCTAAAATGGTTTAGGACTGTAAAGGTCATTCAGTTCCAGCTCCCTGCCATGGGCAGAGACACCTTCTGCTAGAGCAGGTGGCTCCAAGCCCCTTCCAACCTGGCCTTGAACACTGCCAGGGATAGAGCAGCCACAGCTTCTCTGGGCACTTTGTGCCAGTGCCTCAGCACCCTCACAGGGAAGAGCTTCTGCCTAAGAGCTCATCTCGGTCTCCCCTCTGGCAGGTTAAAGCCATTCCCCTTGGCCTGTCCCTACAGGCCTTTGTCCAAAGCCCCTCTCCAGGTTTCTTATAGCCCCTTTAGGCACCAGAGCTGCTCTAAGGTCTCCCTTAAACCTTCTTCAGGCTGAACAAGCCCAGCTCTCTGAGCCTGTTAATCTTTTACTAATTATCATACTTGATAACATGAGGTTAGCAACATACAGCCTATAAATTGCCCTATGTGTGTGTTTGAGAACGAGAGATACCTCAGGGTTTTTTTTTGCTTTGTTTATCTTCAAACAAGAGGTGGAATGTATGAAAGAGCCTATCAGTTTCACATTAGTATGATATTGTGGTAGTCATCAAGTTGAATTGGGCTTATGCTGAGCAATAAGTAATGTGCCTATTGAAAAATATCCAAGAAGCTATAAAAAGACTTTAACAGTTAGTTTCATGCAAAGAAATCACTGTAACAAAATCAATGTCCTGCATTTTACTCTCTGCTCTCTTAGTGCAACTGGCTTAAGCCCTGTGCCTTTGTTATATCTGGCTGGAGTTGTTTCGACACCAGCACTGTCTTTCCACTGGAGCAGCAAGAATTCAGAATTTTACCATCTTGTTCAGTTTCTGCAATTACATTCTGCTTTGCATTGTTTTTAAAACTCCTTGTGACAAATTATATTGTTTTCAGCTCACTGCTTCTTATGTTTTGCCAGAAAGAGTGTATGGCTGAGCAACAGGCAGAAAGCCTTTTTGTTGTTACAGCTGCTGTATTCTTAGTCAGTTGAAATACTTGAAGAGGGGTTAGTGGTTTGCCTGTGCTCTGATAGGAACCTGTAACACTGGATGGCAGTTAGCTTTCTGAAGTATGGCACCACCAGAGGTGATGGCAGAAAGCATTCCAGTGGTCCCAAGAGGAACTCCTGAGTTAGCTTAGCTCAAGAGGTGCTAGACTTCATTGAAACAGTAGGTGGGAGCTAGATTTGAGTAATTGATTTTCATACCTTTTTGTTTAAACTGGTTTATGCAGCAGTTTTAAATTTTGTTTAATCTTTTCTGTTTTGTTTAAAGGTTTCAGCCTCTTTGCGTGATCACATAAGAATGAGGTGGGAGTAATTCAGGTTTAGTAGTCTGGCCTGTTCTTAATCTTCACCCTTTCCTAATTATATATAGGAAACAAGCAATACTGCCAGTGTTAAAACCAAAACCAACAATCAAACTCCCCCCCCAACATCTCCCCAAACAACACAAAGCACCCAAACCCAGCAACAACAAAAAACCCAAGGAACTTTGGGGTTTGGACCTGAGCCTGCTAAGACTTACTCATGGGAATGGCCCTTTATTTGGGATAAGCTGTGTATGAAGCCGGGGTCTGCAGGCTTGATGCTCTAGCAATGAAGGTATAAAAGTGTCAGTACGCTGAGTTACCATTAAGCTTCTGTGGACAAATGAGTTTGTGCTTGTCTTTAGATGATTTTGAATAGCAATATTGGAATAAAAGGAAAGAAAAATCATTCTGCAGACAGCGTGGCACTGATGTATTTGTGGCAGCAGATGGCAGTAGGACTAAACCGATGGAAGGTGAATGGCTCCTTTTTAAAACTACAGAAAATTACTCAGGGTGAGGCTCTCAAGAGCTTCATCTTGTATTTCAGCATCTAAAATGATGGTTTTAAAGATATCTTAGTGCTTAAAAATATCTTTAAAAAAATCTGTCCTGCAACGTACAGAAGGGTTTTCTGTGCATCTGTTGCAGCCCTTCATTAAGCATTGTTCAAACACTGCCTGTCAGCAAGCAGACACAACTTGATCTGAGTTGCTGCGTTTCTTGCTCTGCTGTTGGTATGAAGAATTCTCTATGCTGAGTCACCTTGAACTTTAGACCACTAAATAGGTGAACTAATATTAAGATCCTGCTTTTGACAATCTTAATATGGTAGAATATGGAAACTGAAAATTAACAACTTGCAGAACTGTTTTTTGCATACTCAACACATGTAGTGAAATCATGGCAGTCTCTTTTTCCTAGGAAGTCAGATTAAATATGCAGGTTAAGTTACAAAAGTGTTAGAACATCTCACTGAGTGGTAAGAGGATTGACAAAGATCCTCAACAAAATGAGTTTTGCTAACACACTAAACACAGGGCTTTGGTTAACTGTGTAAAATAGTTAAATAGGAAGTTAGAAAGAAAAAACATTGTGATATTTTTCCAAACAAAAAGTTTAATTCTATCTTTAATTGTGATTTTTAGCTCTAATGCAATTTAACTGCAAAGCAGCTGATGGCTGATATCTTTTCTAATATAAAGTCCCCCTTTTAATGCTCATGTGCAATAATCATTCGAAGTGAAGTTGATAGAATGAATAACAACTTCCAAAACTACAGAAGAGAAATCATGGACTAAATTGAAGTGAAAAGTAGAAAATTGTGTTCTGGTCTAAAGGCAACTAATAAGAGTCTCGCATGGGCATGACAATGCAGCTTCTGATTCAGACTGTGTTCTACAATGCTCCTGAGGAAAATTCTCATAACTTCCTATACTTCCTGGCATTTTCATTCCTTTTGTTATGTTAGTAGTAGTGATAACAGATTAGACAGGTTTAATACTTCATAATGAATTTTGGCAAGACTTTAATCTGATCCCATCATTTATGCAATATTAGGAGGTGTCAGAATGGGTTTTGAATAAAGATGCCATGTTATTGAACATATCTAGAGTATTATTGAAATGTCTGTTATGATAAAGGTGTCTCAGGCTTCTGTTTATCAAATTAAGCTGAAACACTGATAAAACTTCAGATTTGGCACATTCCTGTGTGACACGTGAACATTCTTAAATACCTCAATTAGTAGTACATGCTACTGGAGTTCACATTAATCACTGCATTGCTATGTAAAACTTAACTGTGTATGGATAGGATGTGTTAATGAGCATTAGCAGTATTGGATTACTAGATGTGTTCTATGGCTAAATAATTAGATATGTCTTAATAATTACGTATACATTCGTAGATATTAAATGGAGGCTGTGTCATTAATGTGAATGGTTCTCAATATCGAATTGATTTCTACAAAAAAAAAACCGTTCTGTTTTTCCTTTGGGCACATCTGTTCAGTGTGGACCCATGGCCTTGTTACACTTGGTGACTGCTGACTTTACCTGTGCCAGCACTTCATGTATGATGTTGTGAAAGAAAAACATAGTTTTTTAGCAGAAACAGGAGTTGCTCTATGAATTAAAGGGTAATAGACTCTGTCTTAAAAGTGTCAGAAGCATGGACATCAAAACGATCTTGAAATATGAGTAACAGAGACCTGAGGTAGCTTAGCAGCTCTAAGTACCCCTTACATTGACTATGCAATGCTTTGAGTGACCTATGGGTGCTCAGCTGTCCCAGGCGTGGCAGGTGCTGGTGCTTTCCTCTGGTTCCAGCACTATAGAAAAGGCTGAATCAAGAGTATAGCAGTACAGAAGTGTTTCTTAGGAATTTCTCTCCTATCTAGGTAGTCCTGTTGATTTTAGGTACTAATTTTTGTGACAGATGAAGTCATTTTCTACAAATTGTAGAAACTATTGCAATAATAGAGTGATATTTATCACATACAGACTCTAAACAGTTTGTGCTTTTCGTTGGTTGTATGAATGTAAAGTAATGTGTAAGAGATGCTGAACTTCAGAACAAAATTCCAAGTTTTCTCTTAGGTCTTTCTTTTTATATAAATCCAGGAGCTCAAGAAAATCATTATTGATTTTGAAATAATCAAGTTAATCTAAGGAAAACATGAGGAAACACCTTTAAATTCTAGTGTTCAACTAATACATTGTCTGAGGTAGGAATAGCTGCAGTTTCACCTTCATAAAGGCAGGAAGTGTTAAGGCTTTTCTTTTGTTGGTGTTTTTACCTATTTTTTTTTTTTGGAACCCCCTTCTGTAAATATTAACTTTAGCAATACAGAAACTGCATTTCATATTCTGCAAGTAAAAATTGTCATCTAGAACATCTCATCTATTAGCCTATAGGATGTATTTTTGCAGGAGTTGTCTCAGGAGCACACCGATATCCTCTGAAGTAACCTACTAATAGAAAGAGTTAAAGAATTAAGGTAAGTATTCCACCAGGTTTTTAGGAATTCTACATGGTATTTTCTACAGTTCATTCTGAACATAGTGGTCAGCACTGGAGTAACTGAAGGGGAGGACAGTA